GGGGGGGGGGGGGGGGGGGGGGGGGGGGGGGGGGGGGGGGGGGGGGGGGGGGGGGGTCACCAACGGAGGCAAGACCACCCTCACCCGCAAGCTGATGCAGGCCCTGCCCAGCTGCAGCGTGGTGCACCAGGATGACTTCTTCAAGGTGAGGCGGGCGCCCGCCAGCCCGGCCGCCCTCCGTAGGCCGGGGGAAGGCGAGGGGTGACCCCTGCGTGCTTCTGCCCTCTCTCCTTGGCGCCCGGCCTGCCTGCTGCGCTGCCCTGCCCGCGCTTTCCAGCTCCCGCAGGTTCCCCGTACCGTCCGCGGCGACTCCTCCGCAGTGCTTAGCTGGGTTGGCTGCGCGGCTGGTGGATGAGCCTGCGCTGCAATACATCCCGATGACTTTCCATTTTCTTGGGAGTGCTGTACGGTGTGCTTGTGTTGGTGGGAAGATAGAGGAGCAGGCTCTTTTATCGTAGCCTCGTTACTACTGCTTTTTATCTGCATGTAAAGAAAGCTGGTGGAGGGTTAAGATTCCTCTTTGTAGCTTCAGGGTTCGGATCTTGAATCTTGCTTTGAAATGGGTATCAAGCTTCCCAGTAGCTGTGCTGACCAAGCAGTTTTTTTCTTATCACTGTTTCAGCCCCAAGATGAAATAGAAGTTGAAGATGGGTTTAAACAGTATGATGGTAAGGCTTTGCTACAGTGTTATCAAAGCGTAACTCAAACTTTTGAGTATTTTGATCCTTCATGTACACTATATTTGTACTGACTATTACTTGATGATACTTAATTACTGCTTAATGATAGTTGCCTGTTTTGTCTTAGTGATTAGTGCATTAGATATGGAAGCTATGATGAGTACCATAAACGCTTGGATAAAAAACCCAGTCAAGTTCGAACGTTCTCATGGGATCAACAACACACTGGATGCCCAGATCTTACAGGATAAGGAGGGAAGAGATGAAACAATCCACATTCTTATTGTTGAAGGCTTCCTACTTTACACCTACAGGTAATCAAATGTGACTTCACACATTCTGATTTTCACATGATTTTACATGATAGACGAACCTTACATTCTGATTTTCACATGATTTTACATGACAGACGAACCTCCAAGGGAATAAAAAGACCTGTTCTAAACCAAGAGTTAGCAGCTGGTATTGACTACTGCTGAGTTTAGGTGTCACAAGTCTGAAGATAGCTCTAGATACAGGAAATGGATGTAGTTTTACCTTTCCATTTCTTGCTACTAATCAAACAGTCTAGCTGTAACCAAACATGTATCTCTTTCAGGCCGCTGATTGACGTATTCCACCATCGGTACTTTCTTTCCATTCCGTATGAAGAGTGTAAAAGGAGAAGAAGGTAAGTTTATCTTCCCAAGTTCCCTTGCTAGCCCAATAACGTCTTACTCGGTTCAAGACTTTGTTTCTCTTAGATAAGAAAGGATAAACACTAATGTAGCTGCTGTGTTAGAAGACTAGCTTCCTTCACCAAACCAACCCAAAAGGTTTCTACCAAACTACTGTGTGAGGCAAATGCTCAATTTAAGCACAGATCTTTCAATAGTCTCCCTTTCTGGTTTTCCAATGAAATGGTTCCCAGGCCTTGAACTATTCTGGGGTTTTATATTTGGCTGTATTGTTGTACAGGTACACAGTTCCTAATGCAAATGAAATGAGTTAAACTTGAAAAAGTTACGTTTCAGAGGAGTAAGCAGACAGCTGTTTTACCCAAAGTTCTGCTAAAGCTTTAAGAGAAGGCTGTTCATCAATGTTAGGATGTCTTAGGAATCCTTTTTGCATCTTGAACACTTTGGACCCACATATCTAATTCCAACTTTTTGGGGGTATCTTTATGCTTGCAGCTCATGCTAAATACCGACTTTTGATAAGCTCGGAAACTACATTGGAGGCAACAGGCTCAGGCTAGTGTATAGAGAAACTGAATGAACCATGTCACTTCCCTAAACTGTCATTAGACTACTCTTGCATAACAATGTCTTAATTTATAGTTCAAGGAACTACACTGTACCAGATCCACCTGGATTGTTTGATGGCCATGTTTGGCCTATGTATGTAAAGCACAGGAAGATAATGGAAGATCTTGGAGTTGATGTGGGTAAGTCTTTAATGACAAAAGCACTTTTGAAAGATTGCTTTATGAGAGAGTGCTTTTCAAACCTGGGATATACATCCTGGTTAGATGCATGAGAGGCGTTGAAGCAGGTGGATGGAGTGTATTTCTGTGATACCAGTCAAGTGCATGCTCTTGAAATTGGGATCTGGCAGGTTTACAGAAACATTCAATTATAGCACTCTCCTTTTACTTTCTTACTTTAAGTGCACTTAAATGGAACAAAATCAAAGGAGGAGCTGTTTAATGATGTGTATGGACAGATCCAGAATAAGATTGAAGAATTACTTAACATGCAGGTACATGTTCGTGCTTGTAATTACAACTCAGAGGCAACCCTTTTAAAGGCTATGTTGAAAAAGCATGAAGCTGTAACTTGAAGTATGTTCATGTATGTCTGTTTAGAAATAAGCTGCTGATTCTTGAGTGAAGATGATTCCTGTTTGCTCTGCGCTGTCTACCTGACTGCCAGTAAAGTTCCAGCTTCTGTGAAGACTCTCAACTCTTAAATTCAACTTTGTTCAATCTTCCCTTGAAACTGAGTTATATATGGTCATAATTAAAAAGCACTTCCCGCGTGTCTGTCATCTTAATTTGTGCACCAGCCTAGTACGTGGCCTCAGATGATCTCAGTCTTCTCCTAATCTCCAGTCTACTGGGAATTCTTTTCACTATGTATGTTCTTAACCTGTGGTAGTAAAACATTATAGTGGAACTGATGTGAAGTGGCACAACTATCCTACGAGAGTGGGTGTGTATATACATACACTGCTTTGAGGTCTTTCTGTTCAATAACCTGCATGAGTTTCTATAAGCCATCTAATTAGGCAGCAAGTATGCTTCTTGATGAAGAAATCAGGATTGATTTTGCTCTTCAAAAATGAGAGACCAATAGGAGGTTTTCAGGCCATTTTACTAGCATTGAATTATTCTCTTAAATCCAGTGCATGCATTGATCTTGGCTGCAGACAATTCAGTTTAGAGTCAGGGAAAAAATTTTACATATACAACAGCTTTAAAATTGATTGCTCTAGAAGATTGCAGTAGTGTACTGTAGCTTAAGGCAAGTCCACACTTAAGTTCAAACTCCTGTGTGTCTACAGAAGTAGTTTAAGGCCTTGGTTTACATAGAAGAGCAGTGAAAGAACATACGAAGGCTTAATCCCTAGTAGGGGGAAAAGTGAATTTAGGACAAAAGCTTGATTTAAAGAAAAAAAAAAAAAACGTCTACTAGGGGGTTGTCCAAGAGCAAAGATCTGTATTGATCCACTGTGAGACCAATCCTTTTTCTTCAAAAGAGTTTGACCAACACTGAGAACCAGCAGTTACTTCAAGCCCAGATGCATTAGCTTCCTGATAGGAGCCGGTCCTCCCCAGTATCCCCTGGAAATGGAGAAAGTTGTTTATCAAATTTTATGTATGTACTATCAAAGTAGGGTTTGAGGGAAGTGTTTTTGTTTTACTCCCATAAGATACCATACTTGCTGAGAGATGAGTGTTGGGGGTTTGTTTTGGAGAATCGTCTGTGCTTCAGTCAGGTTTTCACTTGGGCAAGGGGTGCCCTTCTGTGCAATTCAACCCTACTCTGCTTGAACGAACCCCTGTTAGGAGCAAAGTGCCCAAAATCCTCAGAAAGCTGAGGTCTTAGTCACGACTAAGGATGCACTTCACTTGCTTCTGTGCTACTAAGGAACTAAGCCGGAACAGGTATCTGTACCTGGCTTTTTTCTGAATGATCACAGCAGCTCTGCCTGCTCAGAATTGAAATACTTACTTAAGTAGTGCGTTCCAATAGAGAAAAGGCATCATATCGGCTTTCATATGGTACATGGTTACTCTCTCCTTACTCTGGTCAATGGGAAAGGTCTCCAAAGGCTGACCGTCGTAGTCAAATTCTGCTAGAATCACCTTGTTGTAGCCTGTTACTAGCGGGCAGGAAGTGTATCCATCATACTGCAATGAAGAATACCCCTTCTCATTAATCTGAGCAAAGTCTAAATGCTGAGGTATTACTGTCAACATTCATATTTCAAAATGAGTTACTAGGAGGTTTCCACATTTATAGCGTTAATACCAGTGAGTTTGGAAGGCTGCTAAGCCAATTATGGTTTAATAACCATAACACTAAGCCATTTTATCTCAAATGTAGATTGTTGATTTGCTTAACAACATTGCTTAAATTAGAACTAATCTAGAACAATAGGGCTTTGTGTCATTAATTGCTGGTTATTACTGTAACCAGCAGAATAGGTGACCAGTAGATCAGGATGAGAGCTGGTGCTAGCTTTAATAAGACAGTATATAAACAGGATCTTGACTATAGCTGTAAGAATTTCCAGAGGATTGCAGGAATATGGATGATGATACTCGGGTTAGTATCCCAAGGAATATTAATTTAGAAGCCGTATGTAAAATGAAAGCCAAGTCTCAAAGAGAAATTTCAACATCGTTATAGGCTTAACATCTTCTGTAGTACAAAACCTTCAATTCAACTCCTTAAAAGATCATGTTCTGTACAGGGGAGGCAAGTTTAACATAGTACAGATGTGTAAAGTTTGCAAGGGTTTTCTTGGAGTAGGGATTAGATTACGCTAGTCAACAGTTTTTTACTCTAAATAAATCGCCTGCATTGGTGAAGAACCCAGACTAATCAGCTTTTCAACTCAGAAGTCAAGGAATTAAATAGATAACGTTTTTAACGGAAGTATCAAGAATATGAATTGTGCAACTAAATTATGACATACAGTATTTAGCCATTTAGCACCCCAGCTGCTGATGCAAAGCCCTTCCTGTCTTCTGGTTCACATGGTTTAGCTGCGTGCAAGACTTCCTGCATAAGAATGGAGAAAACATTCAAGATAACTTCTCCCGAAGACAAGATCTGTAGGTACCTTTTTAGTTGGCAACTGGTTCTTCATTACCAGGGAAATAGTTTTATCAAGCACTCCAGACTGGGCAGCTACATAAGAAGGAAGGAAAAAAGTGTATTAAGGCTTTGTTTCAGGCAGCAATTACTGTCATTACTAGAGCAAACGCTACTAGCCAGGCATTTTGTTGGGACAATTCAGCTGTAATTGAACTTACATGTCAAGTCCGTTTGGGAAGTTTACGGTCCCAGATAAGGGGAAAAAAAAAAATTTGGACTAATGCTTTGGCCTCACTGTTTCCAACATGCTAAAGCTTTATGAAACTTGAGCTGCTTGTTTTTAACCTACGCCCATTCTCCTATGCTACATTATACTTGTTCAGTCTTCCCAAACACTAAGATTCTGACACACTGAAGTTTTGTTTCATTTTGAGTGCTGTAAGGGAAGTATTCTAGACCCATTTGCTGGAATAGTTGGCTAGACCATTCCTCACATTACACCAAACGTACTACGTAGCCTTTCTTTTTTTTGCACACCAATAACATACTGTATTGCCTTTCTTTTTTTCCACCTTCTTATCTGCATTTTTGTTAGTTGTGAGAGCATACGCCTGAAGTGTTTGTATATTGGACCCTGTGGCTGTATGGACAGAACACGTGATTCTTCAATAGTGACTTATCAGTTAGCTGACACATACGCATGAGCTGCTGAGATAAGAGCAGAAAGTTTTGTTACTGAATGATGACGGAATGCAAGAGTAGTACACTCATTTTATGCCATTCCGTGAACACAGAAAATAGAATTGGTTCCTCCGTGAGGCATTTGGAACAAGAGAACTGTGGCTTAATGGCATCAGCATGGTCTGTAACTAATTAGTTAGCCCAGGAGACTTCAGTCTTTTTGAAAGCTGGAAATAATTGAAGCCAAGACCTGAGGAGTAACAAACTAAACAAAAAGCTTACTGTGACTCCCACACTTTTCATTACACACACATGCAACTTTACCTACAGCTGCAGCAGTTTTTGATGTTGGAAGGTTGGTGCAGTCTCCAATACCAAATACATTAGGATACTTTTTATGTTGCAGAGTTTCCTTATCTACATCCACCCAGCCAATTTCATCCGAGACAGAACTGTTGATGAGTACATCGGGTGGCCCCATTGGGGGTGTGACATGAAGCATTTCATACTAGGCGGAAAGAAAAGGCACTCAATGGCTAGTTTATCAGAGCAAATCATATCTGTGTTGATACAAGGCAACAAGAGCAGTGTGGAGATGGTTTTCTTGGTTTGTTGTGTTGTTTGGGTTTTTTTTAAAAACACAAGTACATAGCATGAAAATTTGCTCTCAAATTTGAAGTGCATCCCTTTAAACATGAACCTTATCAGGGAACTCCATTTAGACTGGCATAACAGCAATTTGCCTTCCTCCATATACATCTGAGACATTCCCAAGTTACACTAACCAGGCATACAAGACTCCAGGCATAGTTTATGAAATATTTTTTTCTTCTCTCCACCTTAGTTTCAAACTTTTTAATCTCCTAAAGTTAGAGATGGTACTCTCGGGAGGTAACAGCAGTATACAACGAAGCAGACATTATGTTGTTATAGCGTGGCAGTTATGTTACGGTATACAAGGAGAAGAAATGGGACCAAACTAGAGGTCTGAAAGCTCCTGACCTGATGAACTTCAGTCACTCCGGGTTTGTCCAGGTTTTCAAACACAGCTTCCTGCTTGTCTGCTCGAACTTCTACAAGGTTGCGCTTATAGTTAACAGCAATATTCCTCTCCTTTATTATTTCGAGCAATGCATCAGCATACTTCTTAACACCAAAAATGACACCAAGTGAAGTGTTGAACATGATGTTTGCTTTGGAACGTTTTCCTGTCTGCACAGAGAGATCTAATTAGCCTTTTCTATTAAGAAACTGTGACAAGCTAGCAGAGACAAAAGAACTATGCTGCACTACTGAAAAGCTGATAGAACTATTAATGCAGTTCAATTATTAATGAAGTATTAACGTTAGAACTCTCGAGATACAGTTATTTCACACCATGTTAGAAGCTAGACAAGATAATCTTTGCCCTTTCTGAGTGAGGTACTGAAGACCCCCCCCCCCCCAAATCGCTAGTGAGAAGAGGTGGATGCAATTCACTGAGGAACTGCTGCATGCAGGTGAAGCACTTGTAACAGCTTAGCATTATATAGCTTTCTGAAACCGTCAGTTCTATGCATTATTCAGATACTTGCCCAGTAGATAGCTCATGAAACTTAAACACATATGAAGCCTGACACTTCCACTTGAAGATGTCTTTTGTTTCCATTGTGCTTGCTTTAACAGCCTAGCTAAGACTCCTCCTGCTGCCGAGACAGTGCGCCACAAGGAGCAAGCATAGCCACTTTTCAGACTAGCAGAAAGACAAATGGCAACAGGTATTAGGTACTTAAAGCAACAAGAATTACTTAATTCCAGCCAGCATTATTTTAGTGCACCACCTGAAGTTATAAGTCAGGCTGAGCACAGTTGTATATGTACCTCGCCAGAAGCAGGGTAAGCAGTTCTTTCCTTATGGATTCTGAATTCTACAAGTTTCTCCAGTATTAAATATATGCTAAGTATTTACGTACAATTCAGTTAGCTTCATTTATTATACATTAATAATAGAAAAAAGCAACTCAGTCACTTTAATTTAATAATCCTGAGTCACACTCCTCTTG